AGATACAAAGGAAACTGTAAAAATCCAAATTACATAATAAGCACTGTAACAAGAACAGAGGGAAGATTAGCATGTAAATTGGACATCCTTTGTTATTAAAATAAGGATGTGAAATTTTGTTAGACAAAGATAACAAAAGAAACGTATGGGAGATAATTTTAAAGAGTGTAAATTGGTGAATGAATGCAGTGATGAATCATTAGAAATATTTTAAGCATTTAATGTATGATAAATTCGGTTTTTCTGACAAGATCGGTGGTTTAAGTGAAGCAGTGGAGATTCCTTTGCAGGGATAGATGCATATCTCTTATGAGTCAACAGTGAGTTCTTATATCAAATCCTAGTTAATTTATATTACGATATAAGAAGAATAGCTCCATATAAGGTCTTTATAAAGCCAACAGTAATTTCACAGCTGCAAAAGGAATTTACATATAAGATTGGATTTCTTCATATAAATAGGAATTACATAGAAATCATTTTACCAGATGTATAGCTTTCTCATACCTACATCTTTTTATATAGGATAATGCCTTTATAAATCAGCTACCGGATGTACGCGTCCTTCAACATCAAACAAAGATTTTTAGACGATTGGAAGATTAGACAACTGACTTACACAACTGACCTAATGTGACATTAGGTACGAGAAAATATTTTGCATTTTTTGTGCAATGTGATGAATGGTTTATCTAGGAAATATTCTGTACAACAAATACCTTATGTTTTAACAAATTATAAATGTTCAGTTTAGCAACGTTAGCAATTTCGTTTTTCTTTTTTTTACGATACACATGGCAGTTAACTTATTCTTTTTCATTTGCTTTGCTTTATGTCGTTTTAATTGGCTAATTACGTTTGTGACTTCACGCAGCAAAGAAAAGCATGCGAAGAGGACGTCGTGGTTTGTTCGACTATAAAAAACTTCCGAATTTTTCCTTATATATATATATATATAATGTATATTATATCGTGGTTTGTTCGACTATAAAAAACTTCCGAATTTTTCCTTTATATATATATATATATATAATGTATATTATATATATTATATATAATTAAGGAGCATTGTAAGCTCCACCGTGATTATCATGGAGGTGTGACTGCCCTATGGGATTGTTCAGTGTATAACTACGATGGATATCATTATCTACACCCATGGTGTAGATATTGGAATGTCTCTGTGTTATGCTATCCATTGTTAGCTTATGTTCTCTTCATTGCTTTAATTTTACAAGATTTCATCAGTCTATTAGATACTGTGAAAATTTTGTTTAAATATAGCTTTAATTTTGGTAGTCTGACAATTTTCACTCGATCATCAACAATTTCTGAATATCACCACCTTACTTCCCTCTTAATTTTAGGAAACTATCATTTTCCAGTAACTGCGTTATTCGACTATATTATTTCCTGTGCCTCTCCTAATCACCGTCAATTTTTCCATATTTCAAATTTGGTTGATTTCATTTATTCTTTCTGTATTATCACAAATTAACTACGATGAACTTTGCTACTCGTCTTACTACATCGTAAGTCAAGCTCACGTACGTCAGTTTTTATTAAATCTTAATTCACATACTACTGATAACCTATAGTTACAATATCCAAGTCGTTTTTTACCACTTGCTGTATAAGAAATGCTTCGATAGTTTCATTTTGATGAAATAGTATGACTTACGATGTAATAATTACTGGTAAGATCTAAAGCAACAGAATAGCATTCCAAATAAAATAAAATGATCAAACTAATGTACAAATCAATCACACAAATTGTAACAATATCATGAATCATTCAACCAATTTTACATTCCTCAAATTCATTGTATCATGCGTTTTTCTTTGTTATCTTTATTTAAGTCCGCACCCTTTCCTTTTTTTTCACGAAACAAAGCACGCTTATAAGCTAAATTTCTTTGTCTAAGAACCGATCTTAATTGCAATGCTTGATGTTGCAAACAGAGCCTTTTGTTGTAACCGGATTTTGACAATTTTTCTTTATCCAAAGGAAAATCTAATGTATTGTTATAAACCACACCCCCAAATATGCTCATTGTGTTAAAATTGTATATATATTCAAGGCTATAATTGGAACCCCCGAATATGCTCATTGTGTTAAAATTGTATATATACTCAAGGCTATAACTGTATCATTTTCCTTTTCAAACATTCAACCAAGGACTGCACCGTACATGGTATCTTCTACTCTCCGATATTTTACTACTATCCTCTGCGTTATTACAATCTACTGTTTTCTGCGAGTAAATAACTTCCTCCTGAACCGAACGAAGAATACCTTCTCAAAATATTCGTCTGTGCCTAAGGACAAACCCTTCCAAATCAAACCCGACAAATCAAACTGTGGCTTGTTAAATCTTCACATTGTTCTTTACAGGTATGTCGACTACCTGTATTTCTTGTGTTAAATATTCGACTACATGAGTGTTGATTGTGATAATTTCATTGTCCACCGTGCATATACTCAATTGCGCATT